CAAGCTCCTTTGACTACAATTGTGTTCCTTTCATAAATGCTGAAAGTCAAAAATCTATTTAAAATTTGATGAATGGTTCACCCCTAGTATCATCGCTGTGATGCAATCACAGGGCAGCAACAGCAGATCCTAAAATGAGGTTTTCAATTAGAAATAAAAAACCAAGTCTGCTCCAAATAACTGCCTGGAACTAAAAGCCCTGCACAGTAAATATGGAGCACATTTAGAGTACGGCCTACATTTACTATGCATATGAGAGACCTATTGGAGCATGCCTAAGAGGCTTACTTAAAGAAAACACAGTGTGCACTTACACTGAGCTGCAGGGTTTAACTTTCAGTGACTGGATAGACACACCATAATAGTTAAGAGTATACAATACTGTTTACTCTTACTCCATTTCCCCATCAAAACAGAAGCTAGACTTTAGAGATGGGTACTGGCTATGCAGTCTCAGGAGGATGAAACTGCTCCAGCTGAAGGTTACAAAGCTACTGGCACAGGCGGTGAGCACTGATGCTCGCTTAGTGACTACTACTGAGTTCCTTACATCACCCAGGTCACATGTGTTACTTTCTCGGTACTCTGTCTCAATCTCTAATCATACGATGGATATCCAGCTATTTCACACCTCCTCTGGAAGTCAGGAAGAATGAAACAGTAAGTTTGACACAGTTTCTATTGGCCCTACAATAATCTATTTTATCCCTCTATGGCCCATTTTACAAGCACTTTAAAGTTTTAAATGACCATAACTCCCTCCCTCTGGTAAGGAAGTTAAGATAAATTCAGTTATGGTAAGAAGAGAAGAAAAACATTATGGGGATAATCATGATAGGATAAGGTATTCACAGTACACTGCTCTCTGAACATGGACACACACACACAAAAAAAATTAAGCTCCATCTAGATCAGGAGTGGGGGAACTCCGGGGCTCAAGGCCCGGTGTCTTGCAAGTTTTAGATGTATCCCTGATCAAACAGCTGATTTAAGTGGCTAAATTACCTCAACATGTCTTGAAGTTCTTCAGAGGCCTGATAATGAACTAATCATTTGATTCGGGTGTGTTGACCCAGAGTGAGATCTAACACCTGCAGGACGCCAGGCCTTGAGGCCTGGAGTTGGACACCCCTGCGCTACACATTGCCATACTCCTCAACCACTGTGGGCTAGAGAGAAAATTAACAATGGTTGCTGAAAGTTGAGGATTATTATTTTTATTCCATTTTTAGTCCATCAGTCATGTATAAATGTTGGCACAGACTCAGAATGCCTCATTCGTCGACTTCAATCGTTGCTTTAACCTGCAGCATGTGCTGTAGAAGACATGAGTGTATAACCTTCCAGATTACTACACTTGACTAATTGCACAAACCTGATGGACCAGTTCACTAGTCCAATGTGGCTTTACAGCTAAGGATAAAAAATAAATAAATAAACAAAAAACAAGGCAAATCTTAAATAACCACCACCCCCACCTCACTCCAACTCTCTAACTCTAAAAATATTCATAGTATGAAGGTCAAGTTTTGCAAGGCGTCATTGTACAAAAAAGATCAGCTGATTCTGAAGAGGTCAGAGAGGAGCTCATTGACTCTCCATGGAATTACCAAGTATCTAAATCTGCCTCTGTTCTCTCATAAGACCAATGTTTTGTGCACAATTCCTGAGAAAGGAAACATTTTTATTTACCTCTTGTTGTCAGCAGCTGGCAGTGGTGGGCTGGGGGGCGTCTTCCAGCGGACCTTGTACTTCTCCTCCATCATGCTGTGGCTGAGAGAGATGAGATAGCGCTCCAGGATGACGAGACGCTGACGCAGACGCTGGGCAGACAGGGTGCTTTTGGCCATCTGAGCAGAGAGCTTCTGCTGGTCCTCAACCAGAACCATCAGGCAGTCCTTCAGTTCCTTGTCATCTACACACACACACACACACACACGCACGTAGGGTTCAAAGAAAAGAATAACATAGTAAAAATAAGTGAGTGCACTGGCATGTCATTTGTTTATGACCAGAAACACTCAATTTGCAAATAAGCTACAGGAGTGAAGTCGCTAGTTTTGAGTGATAAATCTGCATATCAGCTGTTCAAACCATTTTTTGACATTTATAAAACAAACTCGTCCATTTCAATAATTTAAGAAGCTATCGGGCATTGTTACTAGCTAAAGAGGTCATAACATACTTCCTGGGATTCCCCCATCTTTGGTCCATTTTAATGGGTCTTTTTGTTTTTGTTTGTTTTTTAACAGCTGCAGAGCTACACAGGCTTTGCTGCTGAACTGCCTAAAACACCCCATGTAATACCACACCATGTAATATCTCTACAAAGTACCTGCTCAGCAGCTTATCTGAATGAAAGAATGAGTTGCTGTCTTGTAGCCCAAGTCATATCTACTACATACATTTAGTATGCTATTTTATTATGTTTTTGCTTGATTCATTTATTTAGTTACTTTACCCTAAAAAGATCTGCTTTGCTGTGTAAGATTCAGCCTTTTTTTTTGCATTTTGTGGGAAATTAGTTGCCATCTCAAGTGTGAAGGAGTTTAAGTAGGCTCTCATTCACAGTAGGGGAAGATTGAGTAGGAGACTGGTGGATTGGTGTGACATCTGCAGTGATGTTGACGCTGTACTGATCTGTTATGAGGCTCAGTGTGGAAGTAAAGCTGTCAAGTTATTAATCGATCCATGTTCCTACTCATACCTACGGTGACAAGCTGATACAAGTGGCAAATATTAGCTTAGTGTCTGGGCTCAGCCTTAGAGAGGAGTTGAAGAGCCTAGGTGAGGAGGCTTGGGAATGCTTAGGCAACCCTTTGCAAGAGCTGGAGAAGACGGCCAGGGAGAGAGGTCTTCGTCTAGGCTGCTGATGCCAAAACACAGACCCAGATAATTGCTAGAAAATGGATGGCTGGCTCAATGAATGGACTAAAAAATAAATAAATAACACAGAAACTAATAAAAACTTAAGTGAAACAAGCAAATGGACTCATTGTCTAATAAGTGATAGTTGACGAATCATCAGGCAATGAACATCCTGGATAATCATCCTTTTAGGCCCATCGAATGACCATAATTTACAAAAAACAAACATGTCGTACTCATCAATTACCTGAAACGATCAAAAAACTAAACTCATCAGGAAGTCCCACCCTGCTGGACATTTAAATGAATGCAGATTTAAGACCCCACTTCCAACCCTGGGTATAGCAACCAAAGCTTTTTGGTTGGATGCTTCAGGGTTGCTCAATTAAAAAATAAAATAAATTTTGTCCCACTGAGTTTCATCACAGCAAGTCCTGAGTTCTGATCTGGCTCAAAAGAAAACCTTTTTGTGTCTATACCACAGCGCTGCAGGGAAGGCGAAGTGGGCCAAAATAGCAGTTCTGAAATCCACTTAAGCTTTATGTAAGCCAGACTGTCCTGAGGTTGTATGAGCCACACAGCAGTCAGCTGTGCTCAGCTGTCAGAACAGATATGGATCCTAGTCAGACTCTCTGCTCAGTCTGCATTCCTCACAGCTGAAGAAATATTAGACTCACAGGAAATTATCACATCTTTAATAAAAATCTAACAAGGGACAAAGAGGAAACCTACAAAGATCTCACATGTCAACATCTTGGCTTCAACGCAGCAGCTCGGGAAGTTCCAAACTTCCAATGGGAAAGCAGGAAGTATGCTGTTTGAACTTTAAGCATCAATGACAGAGCACTTGCCATGCAGCGATCCAGTTACACTCACTGTACACACCAGCCCAGCTTCCTGTCTCAGTCAATAATAAAAAAGGAGGAAGCAACCAGGCAGACAGTATCAAAATCAGTATTAACTGGCCCCCCCATCCGCCTGCTCGGTGCTTATCTCCTGCCACCATGAACCGTCCCACCCAGCCCCACCAGCAAACACAAACTGGGTGAGAGTCTGTATCCTGCTGTGAACCACAACGTAATGCCAACTAAGATTAAACTCTGCAGGGTAAAAATAACCACTCAGACCAGCAGACTTTAGGTTGTCATTTCAGTTTCCACACCTCACGTGCCAGCAAAAGACGCACGCATCAACATGGCCAGACACACCACCAAACAGTGAGAGATGAGCCATTAGCTAAAACGAGATTTATGTAGTTCACATGTAGGTGTTACGAAACCCTCTGCTCTCAGCGTAGTATTAATTACCCTACTTGGAAACAGAAAGGCGTAAAATGACAGGAGTCACAGGGGGAGCACGAGACTGCAGCAGGAATTACTGCAGCTAACCCGACTTTTAAACTCACTCAAGTAGTTTTCTCACCTGGCTGCCGTCCCCAGTCCCATGTCTCAATGATGGAGTGATGCACCGACGTCGACGTCTCCTCCTCTTCCTTCTTCTCTTTGTCATTGGGCTCATCCTTCTTCTGAGCTCCAAAACAGTCAGTGCAGTCTTCTATAAAGAGTCAGAAGAGATTAGGACATTAACCTTCATCCTCAGCAGCAAGGTTAAAGCACTGCTGTCTGTCCCAATCTCAGATATCAATCCTCAGACGGCGTGGAAATAGGTGTCACATGTCACACATAAATACCTGGGTGAGCTGATTCTTCTCCGTTGAATGTTATCTCCTCATCTTTTACCATCTCATTCCACATCTCACTCAGACCCTCTGGAGAAAAAGCCCGCTGCCAGAAGGATGAGAAACACAATCAGTGCAGTGCAGAACAGAAACCTCTGCTTTTATTAATGCTGCATTGAGACATATTTGAGACCATCTCAAAGGTTTTATCCACAGCGAAAGGAAAATTTCCAGCAGTGAAGTAATTTATTCGAAAACAACAATTTCTACTTACATACTGTGACCCCCCCCCACCCCCACCCCCATCATTCATCAATGAATGATCCACTCTGATCATTCATTGATCCAAAGGTTTTCCTCAGAGGGTCAGACACTGACTTGGATACAGGCTGAGTTACATGCTGAACGAACTGTGATAACAACACAAATAAAATCCTACTGGATAATCCTCTTATTTTGAAAATTCAATTGCAGCTAACCATTTAGCATTTCCCATCCTGTGCTTCATTGCAGGTAGTGATGGGATACTTGGTTGGATCTTCTCTGGATCCTAACTCCAACTAGAACCTGCAGCAGCTGGAGAACTGTGTCATGAGAATCCATGTTTGGTTTTTCTTTAAGGGTGCTCAAGGTCGGCTCAAGATGGCCTGAGCATTATTTTCTCCATAATCAGGTCATTCCACATCATTTCCCTGAATTTTATTCCTCGCTAAAGAGTGTACACAGAGGTCCTTTCATCTATCTGTGCAGCCTTCACAACTCAAGAGTACCAGAATAGCTGTTTTATCTCAGAGTATCAACCGACTGAAGCAAAAAAACATTTGTGTGTCATCCACTTAGTGCTACAACACACATGCATGACATTGTTTTGCTCTGAAATATTCACAAGCTGAAAGCCAAATGTTTCCTCATTCTTAGACAGATTTGAAACCCATGTTAGCTCAGAGACTGAGCAGACATATAACACTAAAGCTGCACTTCCTTCAGTGCTGAAAGAAGCTTTTATGGTGGGAAAATGGTGGGTCCTAAAATCAAGTCCTGATTGGATGATCCAAATTAATTTTCAAGTTCAGGGTAGAGAGACTGCAGCCTGTTAAGTCTGTGGTGTATTCACTGAAAGAGTTCATAATTACTAACAACAAGGGTTTGTTTGCACAACACAGACATTCAAAAAAAGAAAAAAGAAAGATTTTCTGGTGATGTACTTTATTACAGGCTGAACCAGCAAAACAATAATCATCTGCATGAGGTCTGACGCAGATATGTAATCAAGGCTTCTTGTAGACTTCGACCTTCATAGAAATTTTCATAGTGGCCTCTATAGAGCCATTCTGTATCCTACATGCCTCGGACCTAAAATCAAAAATGTAATTTTCATCCATTCTGATGCATGTGTGAGGCACAAATTAATATACAGAGCAATTCCACTCAAGCCCTGAAAATACAAATATAGAGGAAATGTCTCTGGTTTTATCAGAACTAATCTCGAGAGGCTCTGCTGCAGATGTTTACTGCCCTGTGAGCCAACTGTCTGTATTATTGTAATGCAACGTTTTTCCTGTTTTTAACCTCTCAAAATTGGGCTCCAGAAAAACACCAACTATTACATATAAAAGAAAAAAGTGACACCAACACGTCATGTAAAATACAATCAATAAGGCACCAGGATTCTGAAATATTTAGAAAACAAAGAAACAGCTAGGGGACCACAGTGAGTATGACACACTGACATGGGGTAACGTTTTCCCAGTTAATCTGGAAAATTGATGTCACAGCTGAGGTAAAGATAAGAAACATGATGAAACATTACCAATCATCTCTTCTCCTCAGTCACTTGACAGATCAAGTAACTGAGGACAAGACTTGACAAGTGACTTGACAGATCAAGTGACTAGGGAGAAGACTTGACAAGTGACTTGACAGATCAAGTGACTGGGGGGGAAAAAAAAAAACAACAACCAAAAAACAAAACCCACCACGATAAATATAATTTCGTGCCACTGCCTCCTTCTCGTGTACATACCTGCAGGTCTATCTTCAGCCATTTGTCATGAAATCTCAGCTGAGCATCGAGGGTAAATGATGGAGAAGGCATCTTTCCCTCTCCTCTCTGGGCTGCAAACGCAGCCAACCTGCAAGAAAACCATGCAACAAGGAGTGCTATAAAAAGACAATTTAATAAAGTCACTGCAAGGTGGGAATCCACAAATAATGGCAATGTAAGTACATGAAAACGGACTGTGCTTTATGACCATCAATTACAAACTTTACTTTCCAGGTTTGTTTCAAGTTTTCCCTTCATATACTACTTTTTAGTGACTTCATCCCAGGAAAAGTCAGCAAACTCATTAAAAACATGTCTGTTTTTATCCTGACGAATATCGCTGAAGTGAAATGAAGTGAAGCCAATTAGATGGATGAGCTCAGCGAGGTAACGAAGAACCAGTGGGAACACAGTGAAAGCAGTTTGATGTGCTTCAAGAAGACCTTTCTAGTAGGGGTGGGCGATATATTGAATATAATGGATGTATCGCAAGTTTTTCTGCGTATGATGGCTATATCGTAACCATCGAGTATAGGTTGCCATGGAAATATTAAGCTGTCTGCATGAAATTTAATATGTTTTTTTTTCCTTCCACATGCAACGAATGCATTGATTCACATTCCCAAGTGGAAAATTTTCTACGCAGCAGAATGCGTCGAGTACGCATGTTTATATCCCACCAGATAGGGAAAAATGTGGCGACAGTGGAAGTTAAATACCTGAGTGGAAGACTCACTGTTGTGATTTCATAAGGAGGATGTCGAACAAAACGCAGTAATTTGCAAAACATACCATAAAACTATTACTGCAAAAGGTAGCAGTACCATGAAATTATTCCACCAGCTGAAAAGTCATCCACTGCAAAATTAAGACTGTTTTAAACTTCGCGTGTGAAGGTCTTCGCACAGAAGAAAACATTAAATAAACCAGCTGTGATACAACGGCTATCAGTGAGAGAGTAAGACTGAGTCCGTGTTATTGTATACTTGAGGCTGGTTCAGTGAATTTTGGCCGGAGCGTGACAAAACTTGCAGTTTCGAAATCTGCAAGATCTCTGCTTTTAGACAATGCACAATTTGCTTCGTTACAAAAAGTCAAGTGAGTTTTTGGCTTTGTTTTCTGTGTTTAGGAACATTTTGCAAAATTGCGTAACTGCTCTTTTAATTGTTTGTAGTTTTCACTGTGTTTTGTGGTTGTAGAAATGGTTTACATGAGCTTTTAACGGAGATTCTGAAGTTTCTGTGGATACCACACATGCCGATCTTTACATGAAAAACTTGATTTCATGGAGGCTTAAAACTGCATCTCACCCCCTTTGCCCACGTTACCACGGGTGCTGGGGCTCAAGACATATCGTGATATATATCGTGTATCGCAACAAAGCCAAAAAAAAATTTGTGAGATTAGATTTTTCTCATATTGCCCAGCCCTACTTCCTAGACCACAGTAATTACTTCTATTCTAGTTTCCAGGTGGAAAGGAATGTGAATCTGAGTGGAATTGTGCTGCTTGCGATGTGGTATAATCTCAGACATTTTCATGCAAAGCAGTGTCTCTGTTAGCTGTTTGAATGTGTCTGTGTTTCTTCTCCTCCATCATGGCTATTCAAATTCAGTTGGAATCCTCACAGTGCTTTGATTCCTTCACTGTTTGATGCAGAAGTCATCCAAATAACTGTGGCTGTGGATAATACATTGACCACTCTCTGCAAAACATCTGTTCCTCTTGTGCTGCCTGAACCTGTAATACCTGCAATCCATAAATATAATGGTGATTTATACTGTTGCTCATATAGCTGATACACAGGTATATGCTCCATTTAGCCTATTTAGTAACAAAATGCATTTCTTTCTTCAGTTCAAAGAGTTCAGATCTGAAGCTCTTTTATTATTCCTTCCATATCTGACCTGGAACCTGGATAAAAACCTTGAAAATCTGCCCTCAGCATCAATCTGAATGTGATCTTTGACTCTGAGCTGTGCTTTCACACACAAATTAATAAGGCCGTACTGGCTAGCCTTCCCCGGCGAAGAAATACATTTAATAATTTTTTTACATCTCTAATGCATCTTGATAAAGTCATCAACTCCTTCCTAGCATTAGTTTTAGACTTCTGCAATTTCCTCTACTCGAATCTGTGCCAAAGGTCCTGCATCCACCTAAACTGCCAGAGATGAAACCACATCACCATCCTCGATGCCCACACTGGCCAACTCTTAGGTATCAGATAGATTTTAACTTGAAGTAATTACTTTTAAAGCCTGCTTACGGATTTAGTCAAACCTTATGAACCTCAGGTCACACCCTCCTAACTGCTTCTAAAGCTTGTCTCATTACAAATGGTATCACTGTTTGCTGTTAGAAAAGGAACTGAGACAAACTTGGGATCTACTATAGATGACTGCCATCACACAATGGATATTTAGAAGAAGACTATTTTTCTTCTTCTTTTAGCAGTTACCACATCATATCACCTGCCTCAACCTCACTCTATCCCTAGTATCATCTGTCACGCCAACCCTCTGCATGTCCTCCTTCACTACATCCATGATGACGTCACTTGGGGTCCTTCTGCCAGACAATTTCATCTTCAATATCCTTTGTTCAATATGTCCACTAACCACTACAGCAGTGGTTTACATATTTGTCTGACAAGATCATTGGATGGTCCCAGGAGGAAAATTTGGGCTGCATCAGGAAGTGCATCTATCATAGAAATCTGCAAAATCAAACGTGCTTAACATGCTTAATTATATTTATTTTGTGTTATTTTACCCTACTGGCCATGTTTGTCATGCTGCATTTATTCTACTTTATGTAAGCCCTGTTTTTAGGAGTGTAATTCAGTTTTGTTGGCTGTTTGACACAGAAATTAGTATACAGCAACGACTATACTAGTTTAGCGTTTTAATATCATGTTAATGTTACTTCGTTTTATATAAATATTCGTCTGTGTGTGTAGAGTGACAGTAAGGAAAGCTCTCCATAGTCAGGTAATATGAAAAGGCGTGTAAACAAATGGGAAACTTGGACTCGAATATTCACTGACAGATGATGCATAAAAATGTGATTAGGCAGTAAGTGGGTTGAGCTTTAGCAGCTGGGTTTGAAAAACAACTTTACATAAGACAAGAAAGACTCATCCATAACAGGGGTAGTAATAATTATAACCTAATCAGAGCATAAATAAGGCGTTGAACGACGTTAAATAACATGAAGGCGATTATGATTTGGGGCCAGAAATGTTTCAGCTACATAAATCGCTGGGAGGAAAACAGCAGATCGCAGCATTGCATGCTAGCAAAAGCAGTGATAACCTTGATGTTTTGACGCTATTTCCCCACACATGATAACAAACAGCAGTCAGAGAACATCGCACACTGACACAGCATCACTGAGCTCATAAAGCTGTACCTAACGCTGGGCAGCGTTAGCTTGGCGCTAAAGCTAATCACTTAGCCTGCTAGCCAGCTAGCACTAGCCTGTGCTAAAGCAGCTCTCATGCAGGCGCTGATAAACGAGCTGCTGTGAGCTGACACCGAACCGAGCGACACGCAGCGGGTCACGGAGCTCAGTAACACAGACAGGAACATGTCAGTTTTCAGCAACAACGCTGTAAATTACCTGCGGTTTCTTCTCAATCTGCTCTCGTCCCCTCAGCTGCTCTGCTGCATTAACGAGACCTTCATTATGGGCTTGATTGACGGATCGCGAACTAGTGCACGAGACATGGAAACAAATTACGTAGTTTTAACTGCCTGCTTCAGTGCGATGCATGTGTATCACCACAGCGTACCCACGGGCGGGGTTTATTGCGCAAGAGGCGGCAATGTTGATTCCACTGATTCCAGTGCGGCCGCCCTGCGCGCACAGAGCGGTGTTTTAAAATTAACGCTACTTTCAGACTTGAGGCGGGACATAGGAGAGGCTGGGCTGACCTGGGGTGAAGCTGAGATGTCCGCTGGGTGTCGCTGTGGCTCAAAGAAACGGGAAGTAAACAGAGCAGCAGTAATGGCCTCTGACTCAGGACTACCGGCAGTTTCTTCTCAAAATCTGGGAATAACAATAGCTATAATATCAAGTTTCATTAATGGGTCGACATTTGTGCTGCAGAAAAAAGGGATACTACGTTCCCGCCACAGAGGTAAAGCACAGAAACAGTAAACGTGGCTGTTTGTGGAATAATAGAGACTGACTGAAGTGTTGAATGTTCTCCAACAGGAAGGTCGTACCTCACAGATGTGGTGTGGTGGAGTGGGACACTGTGTAGTGAGTATCATTTACAGACTTGGTGTGTTATTTAGAAAATTATATGTCTCACACACCTGTCTGTGAATCTCTGCAGTGATTACGGGTCAGGTTGGTAATTTCCTGGCATACAATGTGGCCCCTGCGGTGGTAGTTACTCCTCTGGGAGCCCTGGGAGTGCTGTTTGGGTGAGTTCAGTAGCTCGTCATTTGGTTGTTTGTTTCTTAAGTATTCAGCTCCACGTGGAATCTTTTTGGGCTAAACTACAAACATCATACAGAAGTTTTAATCAACTCCTCATGTGCATGAATATCATGGTCATTTTGAGCTATATATGTACAGCATACGTCTTTAATGTCTTTATAGGTCCAACCATACATCTATATAACCCCACTAATATTTTCTTTAATTCTATATAGTACCAAATCAACCACTCTTCTTGCTATATTTGGTAGAATTAATTTAAGCTGCTTTATTTCCTGGCACTGACCCTGCTTTTAAGTGTTATCCACTAATTTTCATTTAGGATTGTGGTTCCAAAAGCATTTCCAAAGCATTATGGTATCCTGCTTTAGTAATTCATAAAAGCAGTTTTAAGTTTTAATGTGTTTGAAGCATTCACTTTTAACAATCGAATTGGGGTTAAGATGAAGAATTTGGAGGTAGTCGGTCTTCATCATTAGTCAATCCACTTTTTGCAATCTACCAGTACTGTCGAAGCAAAGCAGCCTCAGAGCATGATACTACCACCACCATGCTTAACAGATCGTGTAGTGTTTTTAGGTTTGAAGGACTCACCTTTACTCCAAACATACCTTTTGTCATTCGTTAAAAATGATAAAAATGTTCTCGTCTGACCATAAAACTTTTCTCCAGGAAACATTTGACTTGTCCACCTGGGCATTTGCAATTTTAAATCAAGCTGTTGGAGGTTTTGATTTTGGAGCAGGGGTTTCTATCTTGGTGGTTCCCTCTCAGTTCATGGCGATGTAAAATTTGCTTCACTGTGTACAGCGATGCTGGTGTTACAACAGGTTCCAGCTTATGGCATGCTTGAGCCTTGATGGTTCCTTGGTTGTTCCCCAAAAATACTTACCAATTTCCTCTCATCCAAGGGAGACAGTTTTGGTCTTCGTTCAGACTTTAGCAAAGTGGTGATATATCTGAGTAACTTGTACTTATCTACGGTTGTTTGAATTGATGATTCTGCAGTTGCTTAGAAATGGATTCAAGAGACCTTTTCAACTTGCGTAAAACTACAATTTTTATTCTTAGATCTTCACTGAGTTCCTTGGATTTGTTCTGAGTATTGGTCAGTCTGTTGAGTGTTGTCAAACAAATCGTTTTTAATGCTGGCAAACAGCAACAACCAAAGTCAATCATGACCACTAACAAGAAGTTAACAGTCCTTGGCCTTGTCAACTTTGTAAAACCTGCAGCATCACTTATTAAACAATTTAAGTGAGTGTGTATGTTTATTTGTGTTTGTATCTATATTTTTGACTCTGTCTGGATTACAGAAAATCCAAAATAAATTCAAACTTGTGCACCCAATTCTTCTTTTTTGAAGTCGTTACAGATTTATGTTCAAAGAAATAATTAAAAGTCAACGATCGGAGCTGAATCGGCCCCTGCTGATGAGAAGCTAGATACACCATTTCATTTACCCATAAACGCTTAAATTTAAGTTAGATTTGGCTTTTAGAATTGAAAAAGTGAAGAGGATGGGGCCTAGTAGTGAGCTATGCGGAACATCCTGTGACTCACCACAAAACCAGACCAGATGTTCACACTTACAGCATCGTATATTGGCACACATTTATTTCAGTAAAAACAAATCAAAAACTGTCACGGGTCACTGAGCAGATAAAAAAACTGACACCACACAGTGTCAGATCTCCACCCAGGCAGTTGGACATAAAGTCAGCACTATCATACAAGATGGTGAATGCTGCATGGCTTGTTTATACTCAGGCCCGCCATCATCAAGTTCCCTGCAGCCAAATAATGTTTTTTTTTTAAGCATCACATGATCTTGCTGTGTGGCATTTATATCGTGTCTTATGTTTCTTTTCTTTTACCGTTTTGTTTGTATACACTGAGGAACACGTTTAAATCCCCTGCTTTCCAATGGACAACAAAGTTTTTTGATTCTGAAATAGTTTTTAAGGTATGACAGTGATCATCCTCGTTTATTTTTGTCCACTGATTGATTATTTTTTTGAGAAACGGTTATTAAAAGACAGAAATCTCGATTTCTGACAGAAGAATGTTTGTGTTACTTTAACCTGAGAGGATTAAACTTCTCGCCCTGTTGAATCAGTTGTTTCTGTTGCACTTGAAGACATAAATCCTTATATCCTTATCACTGCCAAACCTCTCATCTGACAGGTATGTTTACCTGAAGTTGTAAATCTTCTACTTTAGGTAACATGCCTGAAGTTGAAGATCAACTATAAAAAGCTGATAAATTTTTTTGTTATTTTAAAAATAAAATCATGTCTGTCAGTCAACGCCAGCATCTGTAAATCATATAACTTAATGAAACTGGATCACCGGTTGTAGGTGTGTAAAACTGTTGGGACACAGCCAATAAATCTCAGCCACTCCTTTCAGTAAAGGTCCTCTTTATTTGCAGATGGGAGTCAACAGTATGATTAATATTAAATGATACTGCTGCATCATTTAAACCAGGGGTGGGTGAACTCCAGGCCTCAAGGGCTGGTGTCCTGCAGGTTTTAGATGTGTCCTTCATCCAACACAGTTGATCTAAATGGCTTAATTACCTCCTTAACATGTCTTGAAGTTCTCCAGAGGCCTGGTAATGAACTAATCATTTGATTCAGTTGTACTGACCCAGGGTGAGATCTAAAACCTGCAAGACACCAGCCCTTGAGGCCTGGAGTTCCCCACCCCTGATTTAAGCTCTACAAGAGATGAAACTGTTTAAACGCTTTAATTTCTTGAACTTTTGACAGTGTGTGTTTGGGTGCTGCAGGGCTGTGTTGGCCTCCTGGATCTTGAAAGAGCATTTAAGCATCCTGGGGAAGCTCGGCTGTGTTTTATGCTGCTGCGGCTCTGTGGTGCTCATCATTCACGCCCCAACAGCAGAGGCAACTTCAAGGCTCGAGTTGGAGGAGAGGCTCCTCGACCCAGGTAACGCAGAGGGGCTCTTTATTTGCTGTTTCCTTCACACAGATTATGCACTTAATCAGTCATTCTGTTTTACACCAACATTATATATGTATATGTGTATATACACTTCCTCATCTGACTGATCTGTTGTGTCCAAAAGCTTTTCAGTAGGCCATTAAATACCAATATATACTCCTTTACTTTGCAGACAGTAAAAAGGACTATAGTTAGTGTTTAATACAACTTCTCTACACCTGCTCCAATTTGTGCTCCTAAAATAACTCTTCGTTTCTCTTGTTGTCCTGCAGTGTTTGTCACGTACGCCCTTGTGGTGGTCCTGCTGCTGATCATTCTCATCGTGTGGGTCGCTCCGGCTCGTGGCACATCAAACATCATGGTGTACGTTGCCATATGTTCCTTGCTGGGAAGCTTCACAGTGCCGAGCAGCAAAGGCCTCGGCTTGGCGGTTCCGGACGCATTCGGCGAGGGCCCGTCAAGCAGCAGGGCTCGGACGCTCTTCCTGGGCTTGCTGGGCACGCTGGCTGTCAGTATCCTCACACAGTTCTTCTTCATCAACAAGGCGCTGGAGTGTTTCAGCTCCAACATATTTGAAGCGATTTACTACGTGACGTTCACGTCCATCGTGATTTTAGCTTCTGGTCTTCTCTTTAAGGAGTGGACCGCGCTGACTATAACAGACAGCCTGGCCATACTGTGTGCTTTAACCACGGTGTGCGTCGGTGTTGTTTTACTGCACATTTCCCAGGAGGCGCTGATTACGTGGAAGAAAAAAGAGGAAAAGTCAGACTGATTCAGATGCCTTTTAATCCTTTACATCACGTCTGCGCCAAACTTGAGTTCCTGAGACTTTTTTCTACCTCCAGTTTGAATGACCAAAACAACATAAGATATATAATTAGTTTATTTTATCTTAAATATGTTTGAAGTAACACTAGATATGATGTTAATGCTTTCATCTCGTTAACCCTCAATCAGCCGAATTATCTTATGACACCTTTTATTTTAAAGAAGATTATCTTTTTAATGTTTCTCTCTGTGTTTCTAATGCTTTTATCTACGACTGGGTGAACTTTAACAAACTCTAAATCATCTGGTTTGGAGATATGGAGTTCAAAGATTTTGTGCAGAAACATTAAAAATCAGGGGACCTCTTTCTGCTCTCCATGTGTTGTCCACTGTAAAATATCACAGTTTAATGAAAAGAAGCAGAAACCAGTGGTCCAAATCCTGTTTTTGTTTCTTTTGTTTTTTAAAATGGAAAAAAAAAAAAGTTGGACGTGTAGACTGAGAACATTTTTCTGCTTGAAAAACTCTAAAGAGCACTGGAGTCATAAATGAGGCATTTCATTACAAGCTTAAATGTGGTCTGAGGACCGACAGTTAATTTGTCACTGTTGTGTAAATAACTGTGCTTCCTTTCCTGCAGTGTCTTGCCCATCAAGCTTTTACAGGCTGTCTCAGTTCTTAGAATCACCTCCGTGAGTTCAGGCCGCCTGTAAATTATTGAAGGTAACTCCATAAGCTGCCTCTTCAGCTGTGTGGAGGACGACTGAGTATTCTGTGCAAAGGAGAATTTTGTAACATATTCCTTCTCTTCTGTGGCCACTCGCTGTTTACATGAATACATTAAAACTTGAATAAATTAATTAATGTTCTACTTTCATGCCTGGTTATTTATATGAGTCATTCCCCCTGGGATTACTTACGCACAGACTCAGAGCAAACATACCAGCATGTGAACATCATCAGAAGCTCTTCACAGAAGAACAAACACACAAGCGGACTTAAGACGCGCCTCCATCAGTGTCAAACCCTTAATTTATATCCATTTTAAATGCAACTGACTATAACTCATAATCCTTTAAAAGGGAGATTGATTAATACTTTTAAATCACACAAGATAAGCTAAATTCTACTGAAATAGCTTACAGATTAGCTTTTCATTGTCTTCTGTTATTTAGAGGGAAGGAGGCTCCAGTCCAAATATCTCACATGATGTACAGCACCAGTCAAAAGTCTGGGTGTTAAATTCTTCATAAATGTGAAGGGTTTTTTTTTTTTTTAAATATGGATTGATACTGATACTGATCAGTCTTTAAAGGGGCATTTATGGTTTAGTTCTGCTCTCACTATCACTGATTTATTTTTTAAAAATTCATATATTTATAGGAAAGTAAGCAAGGACTAAAATACACTGATTTGGTAGACGGCACAATTTCCTGGTTCCTGGTGTAGAAAGCTCAGCTTATTGGAGGTCACTGAAGACATCAGCAGATGTTTCCTGGCTGTGACTTTATTGTTATCATAAACTATTAAGAGTAGATCATGAAAAATGATAAACATGACGAGCACACCCACACTTATGACTGTCTACTAATCTTCCCTTTTAACTTAAACAGGCCAATAAACTTGTTTACTTTGATTATAATGTCTGAATACAATTGAATGAATATTACATTCATGCTTGAGTTTGTAAGCTGTGCTATAATGCAGCTCAAACATGACATTTTGAAATTCTGTCTCATAATCTGAAGATTTCAGGAGACGGTCTGAATAGTTTGCATAGACGATCAACTGAGTTGGATATTATTTTAGTTAGTCAAACATAACAAATATAAACTACATATTTGAATAAATGAATAAGTTCCTTCTGTCTTTTTAAACTGTAGTGACACATTCTCATTTACTGTTAACTAGAGACTGACCCAGCATGCTCAATTATGACTCCGCGCATATTTATGGTTCCCTGTTCTGCAGTGAATTATCCGAGCATAGGATTCAACCACTAAAACTAATTTTTCTGATCAGGAATGCAAGCAAATAACTGGAATTTGGCATCCTTAAAAATGTTTTATTAGGTGTTTTCTTATTTGTTGTAAAAGAACACATTTTAAAATTAATGAAGAAAAATATATTTAGTGTTACAATATTATTACTACTGGTGGATTACTTATTAGAAAAACATAAAAATGATTTTGGTAACTACCAATACTGTTCATTTATGCCAGCTGTGGCATAAATGTTACCCTGGCTGGTGGTTTAATGAACATTGTTAAGCACCGAACTGCAAGTTTTTATGTCTTTATTTCAAAGACAAACATTTGCATGCTTTTTAAAACCACTTAATTAATTAATAACATTAAAACATCTATAATGTCTGCCACAGATAAGCATATATAGGCATGAGAAACAAAAACAGGAAAATTACACCAAAATGTTTTGAAGTGAGACCTGTCTGATTAGAAACCAGATTTGCAATAAAATTTATTATTTAGGAAGTATAATTTGTTATTTTTTATTTGGGATTTTCATTTCATTTTGACTTTTTATTTTTAAATTCAGTTTGGTTTCAGTTATTTTCCAGAGTGCTTTTTTTTTTTTGCTTCAATTTAGTTTTTAATTGCTTGAAAATCTTTTGTTTTAGTCCTTCTAATTATGATTGTATTAAGCAATGACTGTTTTCTACAGTCATTGCTATGAAGGGCATA